GCCCAGACCCTGGCGTGGCCGGTGGTGCTCGGCTGCTCCGTATGCGTGGGGCCCGCCATGTGATTGATGCTGGACAGCGTGGGCCCGCGCTAACCGCACATTGCGCTCCAACAGGACTCAACCACAGCCGTCTGCGTTGACAGCACAACCGGCCGGCGGCCTGACAGCCCGTCCGGCTGCGGCCCAAGGTGCTGCAAAACCTCCCCCGTCGCTGTGCTTTGCCCAGCACTCACCAGGGGGTCGAAGGGGCCGCCGGGGTAGAGGGGGTCCAGACCGGCAAAGATGTCGGAGTCGAACTTGCCCACGCCGGGCGAGTAGCCGGCCGGGCCCTCGCCCTTGGCGCGGTACTGCTCGACGGCCGCCAGCAGGCCAGCGTTGATCACGGCGACCACAGCGAGCGGCAGCGGGTTGGGGATCACGCCAAAGGGTGCGACGCTCCAGTTCAGGGTGCCGCCGTTGAGCATCTTGGAGCCGGTCTCGAACCAGGTGCCGCCGACGATGTCGGAGCCGGTGGCCTCGAGGGCCTCGGGGATGAGGATGCCGGCGGCGGCGAGCATCGCCCAGCGGGCGTGCAGCAGCTCGTTCACGCGGTACTTCTCCACCTGGGCGGCGTCCTTGCCCAGGCCAAGGGGGTCATAGCCGTAACTAGAATTCGGACATGCAGAGGAAGAGCGGGGAGTGCGCCGGGCCAGGTCAGGCTCGACTTGCTGAACAGGGCCATGAGGAATGGAGTGTTGGCACAGCTGCAGGATCCTGCGTTATGGAGGTCCTCGCCGTCTGCCGGACTGCTGATGCTGCATGTAGACATGCCCGCTTCGTGTGAGTGTGCCACTGCCAGCAAGCAACTGCTGCCTGACGCCCATACAACAGCAACGCAGTGCCCTCGCAGTACTCACTCGCCAGCCAGGGTGCCGTCCAAGTAGTCGGGCAGGTCGCTGCGGTCCAGCAGGCCACCGGGCAGGTACAGCACGCGGTCGGGGCCGTACCACTTGGAGAGGTTGCTCTCCTCAAAGCCGCCGAGCCAGCCCTTGCGGGTGCCAGAAGACACCTTGGCGGGCGCCTGCGCCGAGGGTGTTCAGAGGTGCAGCGGAGGTCAGTGCCGAATAACAGACGGCTAACACAAGGTGCAATAACGCCGTTTGCATCGTGAAGTTAGCCGTGCTGGCAGCCAAGTGCCAGGATCTCCAGGACGTTCATCCGGTGTTTGCCGAGAGGCGAACGCGCATGGCCCAGACACATATTCGCCAGGCAGCAAGCTTTAATGCGCCCATTTGCCAGGCAGCTGCGGTCGCCAACCAGCGCAGGGCACTGGGGTGTCGTTGCGCGAGTGCCCAGGTCTCAACAGCGGCAGCCCGGACGCCCTCCCGAACTCCGTCTCCCAAGATCCAGGCCTTAAGCACCTTCTTGGCAGCCTTCTTGGGAGCGGCCTTGGCCGCACCGCCCTTCTTGAACAGCGCCTGGACCTTCATGATATTGTGGTGTGTTTGAGTGTGGGATGAAGGGTGGGTGGTAGAACGGCAGCTGAAGGAAAGTGTGTGTATGGCACTATCGACGGCTGCAAGCATGTCGGAGCCCGCGCCTGGTTTTATGAGATCTGAGGGACCGCGGCCGCTGGCGTTCCGTTCCCTGCCGACGCACTGCCAACGTCACAATACATTTTGTTGCATGTTACACGATCATAAACTGCTGATCACTGCCCCCGCGGGTGGCTCTGTCCTGGGGTGCCCTCTCGCTCTGTCTGTTGCACTGGTGCTGCATGCTTCCTGCAGCTGGTCCACCGAGCTTGCATTATATATGTAGGACAGCTGCAATTGATTTAACATAGGGTCTTTGACCACAAGGGCAGGCAAGAACTACACATAGCTTGCCTCAAGTGATTCAACGACTACCTGGGCGCTCGGTGTGATTGCACTGACCGCATGTGCTCGGTGTCCAGGATGAGATGAAGAACTTTTGTCTGTCACCTATGCCAAGAAGTATTGTGAATTATTGTGAACGTTTCGGTTGAAGCCAGCCAGATCACTTGCGCTTACACTGCACAAAAAGCGCTTGCGCTCACACTGCGAAACTACTTTCACATGTTGGTTCCATTTGTCGTGTGGAGAGAAGAGAGCATTCGTGCATGTGTGTGTGCGTGTGCACAATCGCTCAGTCAATAACAGGTAACGAGTGCCCCAGCAAAGTGCAAGAAGGCTGCTTGCTCACACTGCCACGGCAACCCATCCATGCGCTGGCGCAACCGCCGGCCTCCCGTGCGCGCCGACTTATCAGCCAAGTCAGCGTGATGAGTCGCTCAAACAAGGGGACATGGCCGAGCCGCGTCAACAGGAGCCGAACTGGCCAGACGCAGCGTGTCCAGAGCTTTGCACCGGGCCCCAACAAACCAATAACGGCTCCGCACCTCGAGCCACCAGCTTATCGGGCGTCCCACACAAAAGTGCGCCCTGCTGCCTAGGCGCGCCCTGCTGCCTAAGTGCGTCGCCGCCTATCTGTACGTCTCCTCCTCTGGCGGCTCCCACCTCTCGCCCTCGCGCCGCCAGTGCAGCGGGTCGCCATCCTCTAGGTCGACCAAGTCATCTGTGGGGAGTGCCAGGGAGGAAGGGATGTCGAACGAGCCGGCCCAACGCGCAGCAGGGCGCCCAACTGCTGCGGTAAGGGCCATGTGTTGCAAAGGGACTAAGGACAGAATCGACCTGCCGCCACCATTTCATCAATTGTGCATGCCGCGTTCCAGCAGCTCCAAAGTGATCCCGCGCCCCTCGCCTCACGTTGCGACATGATCCTGATCGTGCGCTCCTCTGCCTCAAACCCCTCGTCCGAGTCGTACGCGATGACGTAGCAGGGGCCCATCGGCACACCCTGCTGCGGCGGCGCCTGTCGGATGATGCGCGCACCCCACCACTGCAAGGGGGTGATGCAGCAGTAATCAATCGCAAGAGGATGCAGATAATTAGAAAAGGGCCATGTGCAGCATTTATTACTGTCTGCCTCGTCGTGGCAGGACCACACTGCACGATTATGCTGGCCCCTTGTTGTGCGAGGTTTGCTGCGCCACGCCCGTGGCGCGAGCCCTGAGCCTGATTGGCCTTGATGCACTAACCTTGACTAGTTTTGCTCGGGCTTGGAAAAACACAAATTCCATGGTACCGCGGTTCGCCTAAGCGCCTTCTTGCTGTCACATGCGCGCTGACAGCTGGGGCACCATTGCGCTGTGTGTGTGCACACACAACAGGCCAAGCAGTCTCGCGAAGCCCCCACACGCGAACACACCTTGGTATACGGGTCGCCGTCTTCACCCTCATCCGGTACAATGTCCCATCGCACCTGAACAGAAAGTCATGAGGTTAGAAGGAGTGGCACGTGCCGTTGTGCATACAGCATCAGCGCCATCGCGCCTGCCGGAAAGCTTTCCCACCGATGGTCTCCAGCACACCTGCCCATGCCGACAGGGCCGCATGCGTGCCGCACGGCTACACCAATTGTAACCCACCTCGATGCGGCTGCCGATCCCCAGCCCGAGGGCCTCGATGGGCAGTGCCTGAGGCCGCTGCGGCAGCTGCTGCACCGCTGGGTGGGCATACCCGCCCCAGGCCATGCCCGCCGGCGGGTAGCCGGCCATCCCGCTGATGTCTGTCCGAACTGTCCCTAGAACGCGGGATGGCAAAGAGGGTAGGGGGGAGCACGGAGGCGTGTCACAACGCCAGACTGCACCACGGCCACCGGTGGGCAGTGTGGAGAGAGGCACACAGACGAGGGGCCCGGCGCGAACGTGTTCCCCACAGCGGCAAGCAAAGACGAACAAAACGCATCTTTTCGGACGTGCATGTTGCACAACAGGCGAGCCCGCGGCCAGATCACCTTCGCGCTTAGCCTGCCGGCTGCAAGGTTGAGCGTGAGCCGACGCCTTTCAGGATAAGCTTATTTCAGGCGAATGGGTCCTCGCTATGCCTTGACACGGCCGCCTTGTTGTTGACCATATGAAAATCAAAACCTGCCATTTCCCCTGCCGACCCGAGATACCCGCACAACCCAACGATTGCATCACTTCGTTCGCACTGATGCGCCATCGAGCAGCGGTCACGTGTGCATGCGCTCACTGCTGTCGCCGGGTTGATGATGGGCGCACGCATGAGGCCCCCATGACCCTTCATCAGCCAGGGCCACATCTTGCAGTGGGCCACAACGGCCTCAAGCAGGCCGCTGTCTCTCAACCTGTCTCTTTCTCTCTCTCTCTCTTTCCGAATCTTCTTGTCTGGCATCAACCATGGCCCCTGACTGCCCACCTACCCACGTAGGTCGGTGCGGAGGCGTGCACACAAGCCACCCACGATCGCAACATTACAGTGGTTGGGGCTTTGAAAGCATTTGAACAAGATAGCTCAAAGTAAGGGCCGATTTGCAGCGCAGCTTCAAAGCGACAGTGTGGACTGCACATTGCAGTGCAAGGGTGTGCAGACCTGCAGGACACATACCAACATGCGGTTTACGACAGATACAAACAAAACAGGTGACATGTTTGGGGCAAAACACAAGTGACACACGCAACACAACTAATAGAACACACAAACTCCAATTCAAACTTCACATCAGGTGGATGGCCTTCTTCATCTGGGCTTGCCGGATTGGGTTGAGCTCTTGGCATGCCCGCTCGCTGTGTGGGAAGTGGATTTGGGCGTCCAGGGCAGTGACGCTAAGGATGGGATGGTGTGTGGGTCGGACCGCCATGTGTAGAGTCTGAATGCCTGACCATGCCCAACGCCAGGGCACCTGTTCCCCTCAACCGGAATATTGACATGCACGAGCTGCCCCAGCACCAACCTGAGGACCTGCTTGATGCGGTTCATGGTCCTCCTGACCTGAGGATTACGCAAAAGCAGAGCATTCGAATGAGATTGAGGCCTTTTAACAGTCGCCGCGATCGCAGTGAGCAGCCGATGCAAGACAGGCCGGGCACCAGCCTCAGGCACGCAGCCGCAGCAATGCTCAATCCCACTTGGCGCCAGCTACACCTACCTTTTTATACCGGTCCTTATAGGTGTTGGCCTCCTGAGTCCCCTTGTTCCAGTTCATTTGTGTGCTGACCATGTTGCGTTCCTTCAGGCAAACATACCTGCAAGCGGGCAGCAGGTAAGCATCACACTAAAATGGCAACACAGTCAAGGTGTCCAGGTGAAGAGCAGGTGCTGGCGGTAGGTTGCCAGCTGGCTGGACCAAGAACAGGCAGGACTTCGCGGGACGCGCTGGTTTTGCATCATGACCTGGGGTCGTGCAAGATGGGTGCCACAGGTCACCCTGCGTACCATAGCTTGTGCAGGTCGTCCCAAGATTTGAGGCGCAGCTCAAAGGCCATCCACGCTCGCCCTGCATACAATGTTGCCATCGACTTTTGAATTGGTGGACGCATGGTGCTTGCAGATCTCCCAATGCAAAAATGCATCCGCTCGCCTGTTGCCAATTGCGCATGCGGGTCAAGTCTGGCTGAGGTGCAGCACAGGCATCAGCACCCTTGAGCACCAAGAGCAAACTTAATCGACCATCTGCGCTGCGCCGTACCGTACGTCGCGGCCTCTGCCTTGCTGTCAGGCTCGAGCCAATCGCGTAGGTCGGCAGCGGGGCGCGACGCAGCGATGCCCCTGCATGCGCCGGGGGCCTGTGATGCAGCTGCCACGCCAAGACGTCGCCCCCACAGCACCAGCATCTGCTCGGACACCGTTCAATCAGCTCAGGTGCCCGGCCGCAGCTACGCAGCTACGCTCAGATCAAAGTGCTCCTGATAATGAGCAGTGATGCTGGGTGACAAAGATGTGTGATAAAGATAGCAGACCCTGCGATTGCGCGCTTCCCTTTGCCTCTCAGATCACACAATCCCCTTCGCTGTGCTGGGTCTGGGGTGGTGGCCACTGCTTGACACAGGAGAAGACGCATTCAGTGATATTATTGTTCAGGAGATGAACTCCCCCTCTCAGGACCTCTGCGTGCTGACTCACACCCAGGGGCCATGTCACTGAAGTACCCACTTGCTGCTTGTGCGTTGTGCTGCAGCTTGAACAGAAGAGGCTGCCATTGATTACGGCGTGTGGAAGCAAGGTGCTGCTGCGTCCAGAGCAAAACGCTTTCAGGGCTATCACGCTCACTTGGCTGCCCCTCAAACTCAGCTAGAGCTGAGCTGTGTTGGGCGTCGACGGGGGCGGCCAGCCCAAGTTCCCGCAGAACAATCATTATATACGCCTCAGCTTGATCAAGTAGGCTAGATTCCACACACGCTACAGCGTGGTGCCAGTGGCACTGAAGTCATCGGTCAGCACAGTGTACCCCTGGCAGGTTGCAGCAGCGAGTTTGCGGAGGTAATACCCAATAGATGTCTGTGATGCCTTTTGTCACATTGTCATAAAGCAATGGGTTGGCAACGCGTCATAACGTTGTATGCGCTGGACAATCTAATTATGACAGAGCACTCCAACATTCCAAGCGCTGAGGAGAAGTATAATACTGGAGCATTTGTCTTGTGTGGCACTCTTGGCCTGTTAGCTTGGAACATTGCATGTGAAGGAGTTGCCATGCGGCTAGTGGTCTTGTTGCCTGTGTTACCTTTCAGGTAGACACACCTGCCCCATCCAACAGCACAAGTCGGGGCTCTGCACCATGGGTACGGTATGGGCCACGACAGCACAGCAGATATGTGACCTGTAGAGTGCAGCATGCTTATATATGATACTGTAAACTGGGGCATCTGTATGATGATATGCATGGATTGAATCGTGCAAGCCGTGGTGAGCATGCAGTGGCGCACAGCGGGTGCACGGAGGCAGCACCAGCAGCAGCAGGGCAGCGGGCACTTGGGTGCAGCTGCACGTCTTCTCAAGGGATTGTGGCGGTGCGTCGGGTAGAGGCCCATCGTTTATAACGTGAAATCGACGAACTACTCCCTCACCACGCCTAGCTGTACTCGAGCTGCTGTCGCAGAGCTTTCAAACAAACGCTCTGTCCGTGCCAGCATGGCGGTCATGGCTACCGCGACGTGATAGAGACGGACGTTTGAATTGCATGTGGGCTTCAGCTACCAGCCCCATGGAAGCATGGCCACGGGCGGCCAGCACGCCCAGCTCTGCCACGCCCGCAGCAGTGCGCCAGCAGCAGCCACAACGGGACATCCAGGCGCCCTGTGCCGTTCAAGAGCCTGATCAGCCCCATGGACCATTACAGACGGCCCATGACGCCACCATCTCAAACACAAGTGCACCCATGCTGCAGCAGGGCGCCGACTGCGTGGACGCTTCTGTGCCCCCGCTGCCAGCGAGCTGGTGCGCGTCTGCACCGGTCATGTCGGCCCGGAAAGCGTCCGGTCCACGTGCAGCTGTGCGTAGCAACCTCCCATGCTGCCAGATGAGGCGCTCTTGCTGAAATTATGCCCTGCTCCGCACTCCTCGCAGCCCCGACCCCCCCTCTAATCAACCTCTGGCACCAAGGTCCAGTGCCGGCCCCGAGCGAAGCGCCTCCCCGTTTGCCCCCGACATGCATCCCTGCTTGAGCGGCCACCCGCCCAGCAGCGACAGTGGCAACATGCGCTTGGCTCCGCCCAACGCGCTCGGTCTCTGGCTCGGGCAGCAAGCAATCGAGCTTCCAGTGGCGGGCGAGCGCGCGTTCCCAACCGCACCCGGGCCATCTCTAGCGCTGCCGGCCGCGCGCTCTGCTGCGGCAGACACGCACGCCGGCCGCGACCAGGCAGCGGGCACTGTGCCACGCGGGCTCCAGGCGGCGCAGGAGTACCCAGCAATCTCCATCCAGCCACTGGCAGGCGCATCCGTCTCTCTGGGCCTGCACGCCCCATCAGATCTGGCGCTGTCACCCCTGCTGCATGCCCAGCCCCTGCACCACCACCAATACCAGCAGTGCGGGCAGCCGCCAGCCAGCATCCCGCAAACCGCCGCGCCTGCATCTGCTCCATTGGCCGCCGGCTCTGGCACCTGCAAAACCCACGGCGCTGCGGGAATCGAGGCCCCTGGTGCAGACGCCGCCGGAGTGTTTGACGCAATCTGGCCGCCAGGGCAGTCGCCAGAAGATTTCCTGCTGGGCGGCCTGGCCCGCTGCATGGCGGCGCGCTGCGCGCCCAGCCCCAGCGACGGCCTGCTGCGCGTTCCGCTCGCCGCGGCAGGTGCGTCGGGCGGACCGCCGTTCTTCTGGCGGCACGCTGCCTTGCAGGCACCGGGGGCAGGCGTAACTAGGCGTTCATGAGGCCGCCTGCAACAACCTCAGCCACCTCACCCATGCTGCTCAATTGCAATACCCGCAGATGCCTGGATGGACGAGCTGTGGCGCGGGCGCCACCTGCATGTCCTCGCGTCAAAGCCCCCAACAGCTGAAATCATCGCAAGCGCCGCGCCCTTCATGGCGCTCGAGGACGGCGGCCCCGGCGAGGGCGGCGCCACAGCGCAGCAAGGGTGGCTAACCATCCACGTCGTCCTGCAGCTCCACGTGCCGCGCGCGGCCTCGCCGCGTGAGACGCTCCGCGTCGACGGCGCCCCTTCTGCCCCCCTTTCCAACCTCGCCACACCCTGGGGTGGTGCCGCCGCCGGCGGCCTAGGCGCCGCGCTACCCGGCGGGCCCCAGCCCCTGATGTTGTTGGGCCCCGACCGCCCGCCACCGCCGAGCCGGCCGCCGGGGCCCCAGGTCAACGCCATGCCTTACACAGAAAATGAGGTGCTCCTGCTGGAAGGGTTTGAGCAGCTCTGGCCCCCGCGGCGCTCCCCAGAGGACATGTTGCTCTATAGGTGCGCGGGCCGCGCGCATGCGAGGGACGGCAGCCGGGAGCGTGTCCCGCAACAGAGCAACCCCCCGCGGCGCTCCCGAGGCGGTTATGGGCGTGCGGTTGCTGTTCCGCCGACGCAACCATCCCGCAGCCCTGCACCAACAGGTATATGCATCTAGCAGCCCAAGCGTGATAGCTGCCGCCCATGAGCTCCCCTTTCCACCCGTGGCTGTGGCGCCCGCCGACCGAGCACCCCTGCGCGCCCTGGCCTTTTGGCCTGGCGGCCGCCCACCTTTTTCCTTCGCCCCCGCAGCCTTGCGGAGTACATGGAGTCGCGCGCGTGGCCGCCCGGCACCGCCGGCGCGCTGGCGCTGCCGGTGGCGCAGGCGGGGATGATCCTAACGGAGGTGCGTCGGTGTGTGTTCAAATGTGTTCGGATTCGTGCGTATGTGTGTGTACCATGTGTGTACCGTGTGTGTGTGTGTTTGTGTGTGTCACACCTGGGTTCCCTTGTGTCGCACCTGTGTTCCCTGCCTGTTCGGCGCCGCTGCAGGGTGTCGTATGCAGCTCTGGCCGGGCGCTGCACATGCACACCGCCCGCAGCAGCGACGCCCGCGCCGCCCTGTGCCGGCCCCCCACGCCGCAGTTCTGGAAGGCACGCAACTTGCACCGCGCCTGCGCCGCCAAGCCCGTCACCACCGCCATGCTCAAGGGCGCGCGGCCCCACTACGTCATCCGCCCGCGCGCCAACAACACAGCCTCAGGCGACACGCTCGTCGTGCTGCACGTGCGGCGGCGCCCGGCGCCGCCAGGGCGCCCGCGCACCCCGGACCTGCCTCCTCTGCCCGGGATCACATTCACCACCAAACCGGCCGCACCGCCAGCCACGGTGGCGGGCACGCAGCAGCCCGCGCAGCATGAAGCCGGCGACGGCGGCGAAACGGGGATGCTGTTGACGGGCGTCGCGGTGGGGACGGCGGCGGCGGCGGCGGCGGCGGCGCGCGGGCGCGTGGACGCGGCGCTGGCTTGGGTGCTGAGCGGGGCGGTGGCGGGCGGGGGCGGCCGCACGGGCGGCCTCAACTGGCGCTTGCTGGAGGCCGGGATCGAAGACATCTGGCCGCCCAGGTGGGGTTTTGGTTTTGCTGGCGATTGAAAGCGTTGCACAGGCTTGCAGGCTCTTGTTGGGTGCAGGCAGTGCGCGCAGGCTGCCCCTCCTCGTGGAGCCAGCGCGTCATTGAGTCGCAGCGACCAGGCGCCAGCCGTGCTCAGCACCAGGCCAACTCATCAACTCGTCATCCAAGTTGCTGGTGCCACCCCCACACCCCAGGAGGAGCAGCCAAGACATGCTAAAGGGCTGCATAGCAAAGATTACGCTCTGGGCCGCACTGGGCGGCTGTGACACCCCCCCAGGTCGCCGGATTCATTTGGACGGCGGCGGCTGCGGCATGCAAGGGGCCGAGCCGGAGCGGCCGCTGTGCATCGATGTGGAGTTTGCAGGTGGGCACCTGACCAGGGTTCGGCCTGTTGCTGTGATTCAAGCTGATGGATTGAGGCGCATGATAACGGGTTGACCGGGCAGCCAATGCTGCACGGAAATTCCGGCCGCTTTCCGGTGCTGCGTCCCTGCATTCGCCGACCGCCCCCGGCGCCCTTCTGACCGGCCGCAGGCGCCTGCATACGCGCTCTGCTGGCGCTCTGCGAGCCGGACGCGCCGCTGCAGGCCGCCGCGCGCTACCCGCCTCTCCGCCTGACGTCATTGCTGGTAGAGGGGGACAAGATGTTCGCGCTGAGCGGCTGCGGCGGCGCCACAACTGTTGCGATTACACCGACAGCAGCGGCGACGGCGAAAGCGGCAGGGGCGAATGATACACACCGCCAGCCTGAAGAAAGGCACCCTGGCGCCGCCAAGGCCCTGCTGTGGCTGAGGGCGCCGCACGGCGAGTGAGGCGCGGGGCTGCCGAGGCAGGCCGAGGTGATGCTAAGGAATGGGAAGGGCGGCGTGTCTTCACTGCTCGCTTTGGTCTGCGCCCAAAGGCTGGGTCTCGGCGCTGCTAGATGGCCTTTGAATTTGAAACAGCGGGGCACAACAGGCTTGGCAAATGCAGAATACTCAATTGCAGTCCTATTTTTCCAAAAGCGCCGGTCTGCTTTGCGCGGCCCTCTGCACACGGTAGGTCATGCGTTATTGGCATTGGCCCCAGGTTTGGCACTGATACGGGTTTGCGCGAGTGAAGTCGCGCCTCCGCTCCGCGCGTCCCCCCCCCCCTTGCCCCCAACCGCACGCGTGGCTCGGATGCTCGATGGCCGGGAGCCGCCGCGCCTGGCCGCACCTGGGCACTCTAGCTGCCGCAGGACGCAGCCGGGCGCTCCAAACACGTTTGTTCTTTTACGCATACGCCACGTGTGTGCTTTTCGATTGTGCGTGCAGCGCTCATGACCCCAGGCTGGGGTCATGATTTGAGGGCACCAGCACACCCGGCTTGCGGGTGACTGGCGGCAGTGCCCCGCCCTTCACGGACTTTGAAGCAGCGACCCCGCTGCAGTCATACTCAAAGGTTTGCAAGGGCACGCGTCAGGACACCCCTTTTGGTACAGAAAACCAACACTGCGGCATGACCCTCACAACAAACAACCATTTTTTTTAGCAAAGTCATCTGCGCCTGTGAAAGCCTCTGACTAGTAATCAGTCGTGTTCACGTGGTATGAGGTTATTGCGCTGTTACATCCCTTGAGGGCTGCCGCTCGTCGGGTTTTGGGCTGGCAGCAGTCAAAAGGTCCCGCCTCGTGCTCCGCAACGCCGCACACGTAGCAGCGCTTGTTGCAGTCGCGCTTGCCACGTCGAGGTTTTTCTTCTCTGCAGGCCGGCCGCCCCCCCGTACCAGCCAGCCGGCCCAGGTCAGGCAGTGGGCGAGCGCCCTGGCGCGATTACAGCTCTGCCCCTGGCCACTGCGAGTGCTGCGGGTCAACCACGTCCAGCCAGAAGTTGACCGCCCCCGCCAGGCCCTGGGGAGGTGGCGCGGGGGGAGGGAGACGTGTGCAATGCCTGCGACTCGACAGCCCGGACGCGGCGACGCGGCTCCATCTGCAGCCGCACATCAAGAAGTTCGGGCAGGCGGCGAGGCACCGTCACCAACCGCGTTCGCGGCGGCCCAGGCGTGGATGGTGCGTGCACACCGCGCGTGCAGGCCCACGGCTATTCGAGGCCTCACTCTGCAACCCCTGGGACTTTGCTGCCCCCCCGGAACCCCACACACAGAAAAAGAGCGCCCCCACCTCGTAGAGGGAGGCCGGCCTGTCGGGCACCTCATACAGCTCCTGCCAGCGCTCCGCAGCAAACACTGCAAATGCCTGCGGTGCCGGCGGCGGACGGGACAGGGAACACAAAGACTGGAGGGCGCAGGAACGGGGCTAGCTCACGTGCGCAACACGCGACCCGAGCGACATGGCCCTTGGGAGTTGAAAGGCAGAGCGCGCGTGGCGCCAGGTGTGGCGAGGCTGTCCGCATGTGTAGGCACCCGCGCCGGCAGCGCGTGCGTGCGGCCGGGCAGCCGGGCTAGGCGCAGGCGCTCGGCATCGATGGCAGTGATGCTATGGCATGAGTAACTTATGTATCTATCTATCGGCATCGGGCCTGCGTCGCGCGGCCGGCCGGCCGCCCTCACCTGTGCCATTCTGAGGTACTGCTGCTCCCCGGTGGCGCGGTACAGCGACAGAAACGCGTAGCCGTTGCCGCTGGCGCAGAAGGTGGCGGCGGCGGCGGCGGCACCAAGCCGTCATTGCGATGGAGGGTGCAGTCTCGCGGGGTGGCCGGGGCACGGCCGAGCCGCGGGCACGCGCTTGAGTGGTTTCAGTGCGCAGCCGGAAAGGCGAGGCGGGACGCCGCGCGTGCACGCAGGTGTGCAGTTGCCGCTCGCGTCGGGCGCAGGCACGCAAACCGCCGCGGAGGACGGCGCTCGCCCGGCCCCAGGCACCTGATCCCGTGGCAGAGGCCGACGCCCTGCGGCGTTGGGGCGTGGCGGACGGTGTGGCGGCGGCGCGCGCCCGTGTGCACGCGTGAGGGGCATGCGACATGCATCCCGAGTTGAGGCACAGCGAGGCGAGGGGGCGTGCGCAAGGGCAGCTGAGAAGGGCACCCTGCAATTCACCGAGGGCGTGCAGCCGGGCCGCTTCGTTGCCGCGCCCGTCAGCGCGATCCCAAGAACCGCCGCACAGCGCTGAGCGCACCTTTGTCAGCAGACCCCTCTCCCAGATCGCCGCCGCCGCCCGCCGCGCGGCCCGCAGGTAGCGGCCCCCACCGCCGAGGGCCTCCTCTGCCTTCAACATTGTGGGCACCAGCCCGGGTGCGCCGTGGCACCACTGCACAAGCCTTCGAGGCCAAGGGAGGCAGCGGGCAGCAGTGTGGGGGTTGAATCATGTCACCCGTGGCTGAGCAGGCTAGAGGGCAGCCTGCAAGCTGCACGGGTTTCTGTAGGGCAGCCGCTGCAGTGTGACCAGCCCTGCGGCGCCAGAGGTCGGGGGCGTCCCTCCCCTGCCCCAATGCCCGCACGCACATTCACAGGTGCGTGCACTCGTCCGCGGTTGGCAGTGAAAGTGCGGGTCCCCCTGAAGAAGGACGCACCAATGCGCCGTAATCACATTTGCCTTCACAGCCCCGGAGGCGCGCGCACCTGTCCTCCAGGCTGCCTAGCGAAGACGGCAGGTTGCCCGACGGCAGCGCCGCCGCAGCCAGCGCATCACAAGCCGCCGTGAGCGCCCGCAGGCCCGACCCCGCCGCGTCGTCGGACTCCTTCACGGCGGGCAGGCAGTGGAGCAGCACGTACACGACCCCACACAGGCCTGGTGACGGTCATGCAAGAGGGGCGGTCAAATGAAACGAGGTGAGGGGGTCGGGCGGGGCCACCAGGCAAGTGCGGCGGTGGTTAAGAGACCAGATGATGAGTGCGTGGTCTGATCCATGCAAGTATCGTCCAGTTCGTAACAAGTGCTTTCAAACCGATCAAGCAGCGCCCCCTTCGGCCGGCTTCGCCTGTTGGATGCGTGCATGATGTCACTTAACGCTGCCGCGAGCAGCCTTGCACGGGGCCGGCGCGTCCCTTGCGCCCGGGACATGCGAGGTGGCTGCCCGGCGCAGACCTGTCGCCCACACACACCGCTACTGCCACTGTTCGGACAAGGCACGCGCCAGGCGCGTCGCGCCCACCGTGTGCCGCCCCCAGGTATTGCTTGCCGTGCCACGTGTACATGAGGCCCCAATGCCGCGCCTGCTGCTGGCCCAGGCCGGCGGCGCCCTCCCTGCCCTGCGCCAGCAGATGGGACACCACCTCCTGCCGAATGGAGGGTAGGGGAGCGTCGAGTGAGGGTGCCGGCGCGCTTCGCTCAGCGGGGGATGGAACATATCGATGGTCCCCGTAAACAGGGCGGGGGGGTCAGATGAGCCGGGGAGAGCATGTGACCGCCGGCAGGAGCTCGGCCTCGCACCCGTGCAACCGCCTGATATGCCGCTCAAGTGCGTCTCTGCAGCCAATCCTAAGCAGCGGCGGGGGCGCTCGCCTTGATGACGTCACCGCTGACCGCGCCCGGCCCCAGCTGCCGCTCCAGCCACAGCAGCGAGTAGAGGTAGCCGGCCCGGCCGTAAAGCAGCTCGCACTCCCCGGGGGGCAGGCGGCTCACTGTGGAGCGGTGGTAGGCAGCCAGCGCCTGTGGGGAGGGGGCGCGTGCGGCGGCGGGATTTTCGCCCTCCTTGCCTCTCGAACCACTGATGGCCAAGCGACCGCCGCAGCCGAGGCGTAATCATGGTGGCGGCGCGCGAGCCACCACCATGATTTATACGCCCAAATACAGCACATACCATACCTATCACCGGTCTCCCACCGAGACTGAATGGCGAGCGGGATGTCCAGCTCCCAGTGTGAGAGGCGCCCATCGTCACCCGTGCACGCACCCACACGCGCGCCTGCCCACCTCCGCGAGCGCCCTGCCGCCGGCCGCGTCCCCGCCGGCCGCCGCGAGCGCCGCCCTGAGCGCGAGCGAGCCCGAGTAGCCCTCCAGGAACGTCACCCGCCGCCCAGCCGGCAGGAGGGCCTCGTCGGCGGCCGCGAATTCCCGCGCCAGGCCCAGGGCGTGGGCAGGGGTGTGCTTTTTGAGGTATGCGCCATGCTCATAGGTGAACCCGCGCTTCACCTGCGCAGGTGGGTGGGAAGTTGCGATAAAAAAAGTCGCGTGCGTGGGTGAATAAGCCAAGGGGAGAAGGGGTGCGCTTGAGCGAGACGAGCAGCAACACCGCAGCTGCCCTGTGGTGGGGCAACAGCGGGCTCATTCATCGACTTTCGGTCAAGCTGCACTCAAAGCGAAGCCGTGCCACGCCAGGCAGGATATCTTGGTCAAAGCAATCCTTGCGCCTTCTGGTGGCTCACTGGCTGGCAGAAAGTCTACAGGAACGCAGTGCACATGCCCGCCAAGCTCCCCACCTGCTGAGCTATGCGCAGATATGTGAGGGCGATGCCGCCCAGCCCGACATAAACGCCGCCCCCAGACACATCACGGTGCGCCTTGGCAGCAGCCTTGACGGCCTGGCTGGGCCGTCCGTGGCGCGCAGCGCGTGGAGCGCGGGTGTGCAGTGAGTCAGCTAAGAACCAGGTGGCTGTGGGGCGTCAATACAGTCCGTTGACTGGTGTGTGTGCTGCAGTGCACAAGCATGTTTCACATCAGCAACCTTGGAAGGTACGCTGACAGCTCTCACGCCCCTCGTCGCTATGCACGCATATAATCAGCAGGAAACAAATCACCTTGAGCGCTTGCGCAGCAGCCTTCAGGCAAACGCGATCCGGTGGCTCTGAAAACTCCGGCAAGGGTTGATAGGGGTTGTTGAAGTATCTTCTCTCCTGCGACGCCATCGTTGCATGCGCTCTACGCCAGATCAGCTTTGCAGAGGACTCTGCAAAACAGGACGTCCTGTTTTCGGGCCGTTCGTACGCAGTATATGATGCATTGGATCGATTTCGGGCAATCTACGGGGCCTTGTGTCTTGAGCGTCTCAGCGGTGCTGCACCCACCAGGTGACAAGTGACGTCACTCAGGACTCCACTCGGCGGACGAGTGCCGCAAATTCAAATGATGTTGAGCAGGCAGGCAGTGGATGAGTGAAGGCTTATGTGCGTGAGGAAGGTCAGTGGGATGCTGGATATGAGGGCAGGGACGAGGGCTGCAAGGTATGTGCATGCGTACGCACGTGCGTGCGCATATGTGTGTGTGTGTGTGGGGGGGGGATTGTTATGCACGCGTGTGTGCGTGTGTGTGTGTGTGTGTGTGGTTCTTGCTTCTGGGTTACGTTTTGTTTGCCATTTAGCCCTATGCCCGCTAGCGCTTGTGTGCACCCAACATCTCCAGTCGCCCCTCTCGTGCCTGGTGGTCCTGTCAAACTGCTGGTTTACAAGCTAGATTCCTCCCGTGGGCAATATGGGCATGCGTACAAACCAGGTTTTGAAGTCATGAGTAGCAGGTCGTAGGTGAGGGGGAGACAGCCGAGCAGAGGGCTCGCCAGCCAGGAGTGTTTGTGTGAGAGGCGGTCAAACAGTCACAAGAGAAGAATGCAGTGCAGAAGGAAGCGGGCAGGCATGCAGGTTTGAGAAGTAGAGTACATGGAGGGCGGGAAGGCAAGTCAGACAGCAGAGAGGACGCCACAGCGTGCACCCAACAGTTTGGAGGGAAAAGCTTGGACACAATATTCAAAAGCAGCGGCCGGCAGCTACTGGGGTTGTTGACCCTACCGCCTCCTCGCACGTTATTGCAGCAGCCAGATCGCACCCGCCCAGCCTCAAGCTCTGGTAAGCGCCGCCCTCCCTGCTTAAATCGTCCAAGCAAGCTCGCCTGTCTGCTGGGCTGCCGACATGGTCATCCAAAGCCAGCCCCTGCAATTGGGGCAGCCACGGGGCGAGCGCGAGGCTCCGCAGCCCAACGGCGCTCACACCACTGAACCGCAGCCCCAGGCGGGCGAGACGCGGCGTCGACAGGCCGGCGATGGCGGCAAACCCCTCAGATCCAAGATCTGGGTTGAACGACAGGTCGAGATCCGTCAGGCCGTGCAGCCACGCCGCCTTGGACAGCACGCCCGCAACGTCCGCGGCCGTCAGGCCGCACGACAGCCGCAGCGCCGACAGCCGCGGCAGGCGCGCGGCGGCGAGCCCGCCCATGGCGTCGCGCGCCGCGCCGCAGCAGCCGCCCAGGAGGGCGCCGCTGAGCTCAAGGCGCTCCAGCCCCGCCGCCCAGGGCGCGGCGAGCAGCGCGGCCACCGCGCCGCCGTCGAGGCCGGGGCCGCAGCTGCCGCCGCTGAGCGCGAGCCGCCTCAGTGCCGTGAGCGGCACCGCCGCCAGGTCGGCCACGCTCGCCCTGGCCTCGCTGCAGGCGCCGCTCGGGCCGCCGCCGCCGCGGTGCGCCAAGTCGGCGCACTTGCTCAGGGTCAGGTCCTCCAACCCCGCCACCCACGGGGCGGCCGCGACCGCCGCCGCGCCGCCCAGCCCCAGCCGAGACAGCTTGAGCACCCGCAGCGCCGGCAGGCCGCACGCCGCGAGCGCCGCCGCGTCCGCCGCGCAGACGCCGCGCACGTCGCGCGGCGCGACCCTCAGCTCGCGCAGCCGCGGCAGCGGCGCGCCGCGCAGCGGCGCGAGGCCGTCGGGGCCGAGGGAGGGGACGCGGAGGACGAGGCGCTCAAGGCGTGGCAGCCAGGGGGCGCGCCAGAGGGCGTGCAGCGGCGCAGGCTCGGCCGCTAGCAGCTCCAAGCTGTACAGGCAGGAGGCCTCGGCAAAAACGGACGGCAGGAACGCGGTGGCGGAGCCGCTGAGCTTGAGGGCCTGGGGGGGGGGGCGAGGGGCGGCGGTTGGTTGGTCGGTTGCCGGGCGAGGATGCGGGCGAGCGGCCCGCGGCGGTTGGCACGCGGCAGCGAGACGAACACGAGCAGATTGGGGAGCTGCTCGCTCACGCGTCACGAGCCTGCCCGACAGGCTCACCTCCAAGGCGGGCC